TATAAGCTAAAACTTAATTGTACTTTCAGCTGTATATGAAATCTGTATAATTTATATTGGGTTTTTATCACTGTTATACGTATAAATGAGTATTGCACAATAAAGTATTATTATAAATAGTTAAAATTAGGTAATTACTAGTTTGGCTACTACAACATTGATATCATGCTTCATGACGCTTTAATTTGATGAATTTATTGTTGTATCGATCTCAAATTACATTAAACGATTCATTAAACTGTTTCCTTTCGCTTGGTAAATTACCTTATTACAGAAAAAATGAAATAGTAATTTTGTAGAATTGCTATACGTAGATAGTTTACAAATTATAGTTCAATTTCTGACGTCACATTACAATTCTAGCCATAATAAACGTAGATTTCTCATACGTAATTTCAACTATATGCATATATATTTTTCCATTTTACAATTTCTGATATTAAATTGAAAAAGTAGTAGCTTATAGAGTTCTTTTAAAAGTACGTTGAAGCATTCCATATCGCTGGGACCTCATATTAAACATTTTAAACATATCACTAAGAAAAGAAATGTAATTCATTGTCCCATTTTCCATCACATCCTTCACATCCTGCACATCCAAAGCTGCATAATAAATTTTACAGTATCAATAGCAATTTAATTCATTGTATATTGGATTTTATTGAAACAATGGCAAAAGAAACATTACGTGTTTGAATTCTGTATAGTTATAGGGTAAAACTAAGACTTTTGCACACCACATTACATAATAAAACTCAAATAATATGTATCTCATAGTCATTCCACATAAAACTCTTAGAATCCTGTGTTAAAGCCTAAAATTGTTAACATTTTGTTACTCTTTTCAACAAATCAAACTATCTACTTCTTATATGATCCACATGTTCATTGATAATACTTGAAAATTCTATCCTCATAGTCAATAATAACACATAAATGGACAAATATCGTAAATAGTAGTTATCAAAAAATAAATAAAGTATTCTAACGCTACAAAAGGCTCAAGTCAACAGGTTTGGTCACAAACATTTTTCTGTACGATGTTACATATCGATTTATGCATGGTGGAACTCAAAAAGTCATGACATCAAGATTTATTGAAATTAAAATATAATGTTTGGAGTGTTGAATGTGTATTAAATTTGCTTTAAAATGTTGTTTATTTCGTCATGATATCTCAATTAGATCCTGAGATAGAATTATTTTAAATTTAACTATTTAGCCTCTATACTTCTTAATGTTTTGTAAAGACGAACTCGAAAAGTCGTGACATCAAGATTTATTGAAATTAAAATATAATGTTTGGAGTGTTGAATGTGTATTTAATTTGCTTTAAAATGTTGTTTATTTCGTCATGATATCTCAATTAGATCCTGAGATAGAATTATTTGAAATTTAACTATTTAGCCTCTATACTTCTTAATGTTTTGTAAAGACGAACTCAAAAAGTCGTGACATCAAGATTTATTGAAATTAAAATATAATGTTTGGAGTGTTGAATGTGTATTAAATTTGCTTTAAAATGTTGTTTATTTCGTCATGATATCTCAATTAGATCCTGAGATAGAATTATTTTAAATTTCACTCTCTAGTCTCTATAATACTTAATGTTTTGCAAAGACGTACTCAAAAAATCGTGACATCAGAGTTTGTTGAAATTATAATATAATGTTTGGGATGTTGAATGTGTATTAAATTTGCTTTCAAATGTTGCTTATTTCGTTATTTTATCTCAATTAGATCCTGAGATAGAATTATTTTAAATTTCACTCTCTAGCCTCTATAATACTTAATGTTTTGCAAAGACGTACTCAAAAAATCGTGACATCAGAGTTTGTTGAAATTATAATATAATGTTTGGGATGTTGAATGTGTATTAAATTTGCTTTCAAATGTTGCTTATTTCGTCATGATATCTCAATTAGGTCCTGAGATAGAATTATTTTAAATTTCACTCTTTAGCCTCTATAATACTTAATGTTTTGCAAAGACGTACTCAAAAAATCGTGATATCAGAGTTTGTTGAAATTATAATATAATGTTTGGGATGTTGCATGTGTATTAAATTTGCTTTCAAATGTTGCTTATTTCGTCATGATATTTCAATTAGATCCTGAGATACAATTATTTTAAATTTGACTATCTAGTCTCTATAGTTGTTAATAATGTGTTAGTGATTTACAATGCGCTAATGTACAATACAACGATGGAGGAATCAAATTTCTGCCGCTGCCAAAGTAGAAAGATAATTTTGAATTAGTGGTAAACCATTGTATCAGTTTGATATAAAATGACGGCAACATTTTTGACGTTAAAGATATTTTCTTTGCAATGAATATTTGAAATTTAATGAAGATTTAATATGTCTATGAACAATTCTTTATTTTTCATAAAACTCGTTGTTATGATTTTTTAAATTCAACTTGCTCAATCTGCTACTTTATTTGTTTTTGAAATATAGAAGTAATTAAAGTCGTATACCAGGAACTAACATATTATAGCAAATTTACTACAGATTTAGTGTCCTATAAATAATTCCTTATTTTCCAGAAACTTGATTGTTATATCTCTACCGTATTTTCTCATATCGTTCAACATCTTTGCTGAACCTTGACATTTCTTAATACTATTCTGGTAACTCTCAACATTTTGCATATTATCCAGCAATATCGTCCTTCATCTCACAATGAAAAATGTCTGGTGCAAAAGAAAAAATTGGTGACGTGAAGAAACATATTCACTTTTCTTACATTTTAAGGACGACGTATATTAAAGCATAAATTATAAGTGTTCTGTTTTTATAAGTAAATAACTTCACATATATTTACTTAAACATAAAACAATGTACGCATTTACTTCTGTAAACTCAACAAATTTCAACGCAAATATAATTTATGATTTTTATGACATTCCTTCTTCTTTGAAGTTTTATGTACTTGAAATGAAGCGGGGAAATACCTCGAATAAAGCCACGTCTATATTAGTACATTATCTACATCATACATCTTTTCAATTTAGCTTTTGGACATTCTCCGAGCGGTTAAATTTGCCAAAAAAGTTAATGATCCATCTGTTATATTATAATACTAAATGGGGAAAAGAGGATTTATTCTAATTCAATTGAATAACTCATTCACACTGAGTATTTATGCCTACAATAACATGTTATGGTATCGCTTTCTATTGATAGAGAAGTCCTGATTATTAGCTTTTTGGTTTATCGGTACCATTAATTGAACAATTTTATTTCTGTTATTTTTGTTAGGCCATTACATGACGGGGGATTTAATAAAACATAAAAATCTTTTTATACAGAAATAGAAACAATAAGACTTACTGAAATTTACTTATATGTTTCTTGATTGGCAAGTTGCCAAAGAGATTTCTCCGCCTTTGTGTTGTCTCGTTCATAAACATTATCGGGTTATTACCTCGAATTAGTATACAAAACATTATTTCTTTAATCTTCAAAAATAATATGAATTGTTTTATATGAATTTAATTTTAGCGATAACATTTTATTTTTATTTTAAAATGCCCGTTAATTCCATTCTATTGTGTAGGAAGTTTTACGTAAGTTTGACGGCAATTTTTTTGCACGAAGCGAATAAGTAAACCAGAAAATAACCGAGATGGTTATGCAACAGAAAATAACGCAAAATTATTAATAAAACAAAACGATCGAGTATTAATTGCTTTAGAATGTTTAATTTTTTTAACAAAAAAATTAATTTCTACATTTGAATCATCAAAATCGTTGTTAAACTCGAGGATTATTACTTTGACGTTAATCGAAAGTTAAAATGAAAGTTTAATTTTGTTTAATCCGGGGTATTGCTACTTTAAAACGATCAATCATACATCAAAGCCGAGAAAAATAATTTTTATGGCTTTATTTGTTGGAAATTGTTATCGATTCGATCAATTTTATTTTAAGACAAAAAAAGTATTAATAAGAACCAATTTTGTTTGTTCTATTTTCGTTGTCAATGAACGAGTAATTTAAAAGAAAAAAAATTCCTAGAATCGACATGAAATTGGATAATTTCAGCATTTAGAAAATTACCACTATCGAGAAATTGACGAAGGTCGTCCACATTTGTTAAGAAAATTGGCCCGCTGCGCAAAAAAGATATGAAAATTATTGTTGTTGAACATTTTCTTGCAAATTAATTTATTAAGATTGATTTAAAAACGTTTTTAATGATGCGGCATTAAATTAGATTACCTTGTAATGTTTTTGCAATAATTTAATTCGTTATAAATTTATTTATCAACTGGCGGATTAATTCGTTTTAAAAATAAACAAACAAAACAAGTAATTAACTTATTATTATTAATCGAATTCATATTTTTAAATTGTCATAAAATTTCCACAAATAAAAAATAAAGCCCAAGAAGATTACTTTTTAGTCTAAATTTTAGTACTAATTTAGACTCGGTCAATATTTTCATATAAACTAAAACAACTCGGTTAAACAATAAAATAAATAAAAACATAGAAGAGGAAACTAAATTCAATTAATCCAAGAACAATAACCTGGACGTAAATCTGAGCTTAGCCTAGATTTTAAAAGTATTACCCTATGACGAAAGCATGTAATAAAGTTAACTTTATAAATATGGAACGGGGAAAACGCCACGTCCCATTATAATGAGTTTTTTTTATGTTTCTGGTTGTTGTGTGACGTTTATCAATTGAGTACGATTTGAGAATTCGTAATTAAAGTTGTCGGCAAATCGATTTAGAAATCGAAACCTTGAGAACGATGCAAATACAACCTCCCGTACATTGCATTGGCAGGTTGAAAGAAACTTGAAAGAAAACCGATTTGAAATAATAAAATCTCCTTTCACCAAAGACGTTCGTGCGTAAACGACGAGATTACGTAAAAAACCTTGAATAAAATCATAATTATCAATGAATTAAATTTATGAAAAATTTTATTCAATTTTATTGTATTTTTAATTTTAAATTTGTTTATCTTTTTTTGTTTCAGGAATCAATTTGAATAAATAAAACTGAAAAAGAAACGTGAGTTGAAAACGGTTTGAAAGGAAACGATTAAATAAATAAACTAAACCCCACACGTCATGCTCGCGTAGAAGAAAAGATAAAATAACTTTAAACCGGTAAAAATGGAGGATGTCGACGTAATCGATGCTGCTTTAATGGTAAAAACCGACGGTCCTAAAAGGGTTCCTTCAATTGAAATCCTCAACAGTGAAATGCCGGGAAGATGCAATCAAAAGGAACGCGGAAAGAGAGCCTTTAAAGCTTTATTGAACAAATTAAGATTGAGAAAATGTGCTAGTGCTGATATTACAGAACCGGATCCAACGTACAAAGTTGCTTATTTGGGGAATGTTGTTACTGGATGGGCAAAAGGTAATTATCTTTTTAAAAATGATTTCAAAATATTTGATAATACCAACAAGTTTTGTAATGTCTTGTATCAAAAAAAAAACTTGATTTATAATTGGTAAAAGGGAGGATAAAATAAAATGAGATCAATTTGGAAACGAGCCAATAAAAAGTGAATGGAGTTCATTTTCGGTTGTTGCAAAAGAAAACTTGTAATTTTAATGTAAGTTTTATCAAAGAGGACAAGTTAAATTAAACCAGTTGCAAACCTGTTTTTGAAAAAATTAAATGTCAGCATGTTTATACAGGTAACCATGGATGTTACACAGGTGGATGCTTAGGTGATTTTGAAAAAAGGATAACTTAAAATCTTTTTTCCCTCATCAACAACACTCACATTGGCCGTTTCGTTAGAAACTACTTATTTTATATCTAAATTATAGCTATAACTTTTGATACATCTTTTATTATTTGAATACATTTGCTTTTTTTGTGAAATTAATAGTTATTAACATACATAGTCAATATAATTTGTCATTACAGTAAAACCTAGATAACGGGGAATACAGTCTCCGTTATAGCTCAATCTTGCGCTGAATAACAAATAAAACTAGACTAACACTAGCACTAGAACTAACACTAGACTCAGGTTTAGCAGTCTTAAGAGACGCACGGCTAAAAGGAATATTTCTAGTTTTAGGTCTAATGTTAGTTGTTCTAGGGGCAGTGACAGGTAGTGCTAGTTAGCATAAGATATCACTATGTTGGATATTTTTATTGGATTAAAACTAGAACTAACACTAGACCTAGAACTAGAAACATTCGGGTTTAGCCGTGCGTCTGAAGACGCACAGCTAAACTCGAATGTTTCTAGTTCGGCTAATTGCATTTTTAAACATTCGGCTAAACTCGAATGTTTCTAGTTCTAGGTCTAGTGTTAGTTCTAGTTTTACACTAGCAATATCACTAGAACTAATACAAGACCTAGAACTAGAATCATTCGGGTTTAGCCGCCTTGAGAGACGTGCAGCTAAACCCGAATGTTTCTAGTTCTAGGTTTAGTGTTCTATGGAAAGTTGTACTCTTTATTAGCAATTTTGTAGTATTTTTGCTTAAAGTTATTTGTAATTATAAGAAAATCTATACCAATGATAAAACGGCAGATACACATTTATTGTACATTTGATTTGCATTAGGCACATGGTTCATTTAGCGTAAGTAAAAATAACATCGGGCGGCTTCAAAAAAGACTCTTGAAGTGGGACTTGAAGTCCTTGACTATGATTCCAAATTGATATTCTCTAAATTAATATTAAGAAGAATTGCAGAAGCTTCATACTTTATTGCTAACATTTTGTTTACCGATTTGCCATATTTGCAAGCAACAAAATTATTAATTTCCATAACTATCATGTTTGAACTGATGAAAGTCGTGATCGATGTATTGAGTAATATGAACGAAATATGGAGAGAATACACAGTTCGGTAACGTTGTTTATTACATGCCAATTTCATGTCATTATCCATTTTTGTTTTATCTATTTTTATGTCTATTCTGAAAAGTCTATCTTAATTATACAGGGTGAGTTATTAGTACCCCGGCGGATGATATACAAAAGTTGTTTAACTCACTCGTAAAATTATTTTTACTTATACGGGATGTCCCATTTATTCATAACGGAGAGTATGTAAATTTTTTTAACTGGAATACCCTATATATTTTATCATATTATGAATAGCATTAAATTTGTTTATACAACCGAATATGTTATTAACTCATAACGTTCATAGTTTCTGAGATATTCAATTGTTTTTCTAAAATGTGTCCATTTCAGGATTTTTTTAAAAACGATGTAAAAACGACATTTTTTTCAATTTTGCCTTGAAACTATGTCAGATAATAGTCAAAACCAGTAAGTAGATGATGAATAACCAAAGATATTAGATACGCTATACAGCGTGTTCATAAAGCTTAGTTACTTTTTGATGTTTTTCAAATGGCTTTTGCTTAAGTTTTTTAAATGGAACATCCTGTATATTCACCAGCAGGTTGAATAACCCATCAAGTTACGTTTAATTAATGATAAGTCATATATCTAACTTTAGTAATTTTGCTGATATTTGGAATTTAAAGAATAATGTGTAATAAAATATACATTATTATACTTAATATTATATTCTGTCTATTTTTATCAGTTTTTTTTTTGCTATTTGATTAATATTTTATAATGTAAAATAATTTTGCTGCCATATACTAGATTTTAATGCGACTTGGTACTTTATGAGATTTAAAAAGATGTAAGTAATAAAATATGCAATTGTTCTGCTATATATTTTACGACTTTGGAGAAAATAAGATGCACATGTTAAAAGGTACTTCAAGATCTTTTACACAGCGCATTAATGAACAACTTCTAAATATTAATTAAATTAATACCTACTTGTTGAGCAACGTTTAGTAATTGTTTATAGTTTGTTGCTGCATTTCCTTCTAATAATTGGAATTGGGATTTATTGTTCTGCCATTTAATTGCATTTTTTGTATTTTTATCACATTTTGATTATTTATTTATTAAAGTTTTTTTTACTTGTATTTTAATATAATATTACTGATTTACAAATTGCAGACAAACAAAAAAGAAAAAACAAAACAAAATTGACAAAAAAAAAAAAATATATTACATTCTGTCACTTTTTTAAGTACAATAATAACATTTTATTACACATTTTTCTTTAAATTCTAAATATCAGGAAAACTATTAAAGTTAAACATATGACACACTTATCATTAATTAAAGGGAACTTGATGAGCAATTCAATTAGCACACAATATACAGGATGTTCCATTCAAAAAACTTAAGAAAAAACTATTTGAAAAACATCAAAAGTAACTGATTCTTTTAAACATCCTGTATACTATATCTAACATCTCTCAATACCATCATCTAACTACTGGTTTTCACCATTGTCTGACGTAGTTTCAAGGCAAAATCTGAAAAAATGTGTATATAAAAATTTGATATAAATCTTTTGGACTCTTTTGGACATGGTGGTGGCAATTAACATCAACTGTTTTGATTGGAATCTTTTTCTGTCAAATATCAATGAGGCCAAATGAATTATGCATTGTTAGACGAATAAAGTATACTCTTAATATAGCATAGATGACATTTTTGTTATGATAAAGATTTCTGTTTTTTGAGTTGTCCATTTATATTTCTAAAAGTGTTTATAGACTTTCTTTTAAATTGACGATATCTTGTTTATGTATTGGTGAATACCTTCATCAATACTTCTGTATTCCTTCAGGGGTAAGAATGTCTTGAATTTATTGATTTTGGCCTAGACATCTAGACATCTTTGGTTTTGCTCGGATTTTTTCCACTACTAGAAGATGTTATCATTATTTCAGTTTTTTAATTTAGTTTCTTCCCATTGTGTTGGGCTATAAGTATCACTCTGGTTAGCGATAAGTGTTATGGATTGAAGAGTTGAAGTCCCATAATATGTAACATTTTGACAACTCGCAAAAGAAACACTTATGAATTCTCTTTCAAAATAGAATATTTTATTAATAAGTATACACGTTAATTTATAACTGGTCAATCATTTAAAAACAATTTCATGAAATCGATTTTTAATAAATTGTATAATAATAACCTATTAATAGCAGTTCAACGATGATAAAGCTAAACACTTAGAAATACACTACGATGTTTCTGCACTTCTGTACGAAGAAGCAGAGGATGCGCAGAAGCGGTTCTGTCATTTGCACAAAAAGTAAGCTCCTGAAGGGTTATTGTGATATTGTAGAAGTACATTAGTCGGTGACAAGTGATAAGCAACAATGCTAAATCTCTGAAAAGTCTGAAATTCACATAACATTTTCCTGCAAACTAGAGTTCTTTCAATCTGGGTAGGCTAATAGAAACTTTTTCATCAAATCTTGTGCTTAAGCACTAATTCCAAACTTTTGTGGTTCCAGAATTTTTTGCAAACTTCCAATTCTAGATAACATACTTTTAAGTCACAATTGATCTTAACGCTTGAAAATATTACTAAATATATTTTTTATATAAGCTAGTTTCAGTTTATGGATATATTTAGACATATTTGGTATTTCATTATTCTGATGTAACGAAATCTAGCTATTTCGTAAGTTTCAAATCGGTATGATAGAAACCGAAATGTTTCTTACAACTTGAAGCAAAAAAGAGAAATTGATGTGATGAAATTCGGACATATCTTATTGAGATGAATTTTAATCGAGGGATAAGACCAAAAAAGAATGTGTTTCTATCACGGTGATTTGTCGCTTACGATCATAATAAACTAACCTTTTTTTAAAATCGATATCAAGCATCATTTCCTGCCTATAATGTGGAAAAAATAGTTTCGAAAGTGTTCTGCATGGGCAGTAATGATTTGGATATCGCTGGCTCTTAATTATTGCCATCTGGTATTCAATACGCAAACGGAATCTTATTAACTATTTTAACGTGGTGGAGTAGGTGTGGCTTATCTGGTAAATTATTATGTGGACTGGATCGAATTTGAATTATCTATTTCATCGCACGAAAACTTTTTGTTTTCTAGATTATTTTTGTTTCTATCTAAAATTAGATTAGTCAATTAAGCAATTAAAATCACTTGTTTCCGTGTGACTTAAAGTAGCTTTATAACATTAATATTTATTTTTTTTTGTGTTTGCTTGAAACACATTGTTAAGAGACCTACGCCAATGTATGGTATGCTTGTTTAAACGCGCGTCATTTACCAAAAGATTAAAAATAGAACCACATAACAATTACAATACGTAATCGTTTTTTATCTTTTTTTTGTTATCTGATTTAAAAATAAATTACTTTACTAATGTTAATAATTAATAACCGCCTTAAAATCATCCTGCTTTTATATTTAGTGTTATTCTATTCTAAGGATAAGTATGTTAAATAGATTCTTTAACCAGCTCTATAATTTTTTCTTCTACGGCTAATGCAGCTTACTTTGGACTAAGAAAACTA